AGATAGTTGTCTGTCATAGCTGCACATCCTTCTAGTTGCTGTATGTGGGACGCGGCCTCAGCATGGCCGGAGGAGCGGTGCGTCGGTGCGCACCCAGGATCCGAACTCGGGCCGCCGGCAGCGGAGCACGCACACTTAACCACTAAGCCACGGGGCCGGCCCTCAAGATCCTTATCTTAATTACACCTGCAAAGACCTTATTTCCAAATAAGGTCACATTTACAGGTTCTGGGGGTTAGGATAAGGACATATCTTTCGGGGGGGGGCCACCATTCAACCCACTACACATTCTCAGTGCTTTTTATCTTCCTCCACAGAAATCATCTTTGGAAAATAAATTTGTGTGAGAAGCTTTAACAATTATTTTTTCAATCATTCTCTTCAGGAATTGTTGAGCATCTACATTATGCATGGCAGTTATAGGTTCTTATTTCCTCCTGTGGCAATTACTACAGTGTGGTAGTGGTATATGGTATTTGGAAGGGTAACAGCATGGTTAAATGCTGTTTGGGGGAAAAGCGTTTTTTCCAGTTTCTACAAATATGTGATTACAAATAAGATTTTCTCATTTTGCATGGCCTGAAGCTAAGATTCTTGAAAATGTACACTGAAATGGATTATTTTGAGTAAGATTGAAAAGTGGTATTAAAATTGATATTACCTATATATGAATATTTATAAGTAAGAATAATACCATACCAAATACCCTATATTAGTAAAACTGGTTAATATATTAACACTGTAATGAACTGTTGGGAGAGGCAGTTTGCCATGGGCCCTGAGTTTCCCTGCATGTTCTTGCTGAGTGTGCCAGGTGGCAAGGCTTTATCCATCTTGTTGGCTGCTTATTCAAAAAGTGCTAGGCCGTTGGCCCTGAGTTCTTCTCCTGTAGAGCAGTCCATTGTGTGTGCAGGTGTCATCTGGGCCTGTCCTGTCACCCCCGTGGCACTTTGGGGCAAGGGGAACAAATGCATATATGCTGATGCCCATGCACCTTGCTGTACCATGAGTAATCAAGTCTTTTATCTCTGGCCCAAGAGGCTGTCTTCTGCCAGCATCCATGAAACAGTAGCAGGCTACTTTAGTAACTTACAAGTAGGATAAAATTTCAGACAAATATAAAGATGTTAAGAAAAATTCTGTGTAAATTGAATTTTTGTAACTAAAGTCACAATATTTATTGAATAGCTGATTTTTTATGTGACGTCTTGCAAATACAAATTCTCAAAAGTCTATCGTTGTATTTGTTTTATAAATTATGGTATTTATATATCAAGTATAGTAATTAGGCTGATGCGTGCTAGGTGCCGTAATGGCTAAACCCCTAAATCTCAGGGGCTTTACCCAAGAAAGGTATTTTTCTTGTTCATGTAAAGTCCTATGTGGGTGTTCCTGGTTGGGAGTCTTTCTGCAGTGGGTTTCTACCGTCTTTATCTCATGGCTCCCAAGGTCTAGGGGTCATTTCTATTCTGGCTATTCTTAATGGGGGGTGTGAATATGGAGGATCATGCTTAGGAGGTTTTGTTTTTCGCTTTTTTTATTTTAAATTTTTATTATGGAAAATTTCAAGCGTGTCAGGAGTAGAGAAAATAATATAGTGAACCCTCAGGTATCCATCACCTAGTTTCATCAGTGGTAAACATTTTGCCATTTTTTCCCACTATTTTTTTTTTTCTGGAGTCTTTAGTTTTGATTGTTGCTTTTTAATAAAATAGTGCTCTCATTATGGAAAATATCTAACTTGGAAAAAGAGACACCTGTAACCTATCCCTCAGAGGGAGCCACTAATTGTGTGTGTGTGTGTGTATTGTCTTTAATGAGATTATTTTTAAGGATCTGTCTATCTGTGTCATTCTTTTAAATATATTCAACATATTCCATTATATGGATAAACCATACTTAATTTATCCAGTTCCCTATTGGGGGGCATTTGGGTTATTAGTTTTTCCCTATTAAATAATGTTGCGCTAACATTCTCATGTCATATATACTTAAGCAAGTATTTTTTACAGGATAATTTCTAGAATTGGAATTGCTGGGTGAAAGTGTATGCATGTCTTAAAGATTTAATAGATAGTGTCAAATTGCCCTCCAAAATGACTGTGCCAGTTTATACTTTCAGCAGTAGTGAATGAGAATTACAGGAGTATTTTAAAGCAAATCCCAAACATTGTATTGTTTCACCTGTAAATACTTCAGTATTTCTTGCTAACAGATAAGGACTTTTTTCATTTTTAAACTTATCATTTCTAAAAAACGTTGTCACTTCTAAAAACATAGTGCCTTTTTAGCTATTAATGTTTTAGCGTAGTAGCTGCCTTCCTATGATCTTGGTGCAAGGCTGAGCCATTTCTTTTTCTCGGAAGTCTCACAGACTGCTTTCTGTCGAGGTTTTCTTACAGTCTTATTCTCTTATTATTTGTGCTGCAGAAGCTTTTCCAACCCAGTGAGACTTTTGCTTTCTGAATTTTTCTCATTCCTTCCATTTCTGCTTAAAAAGTGGCACTTCTCTCCCAAGCTCATTTTTGTCTTGAAATATCTTGCTAAGGCATCAGTAGTAGTCAGCACACTCCATCGTTCTGACTCTTGCCACCACCTTCCCTGGGCCAACAGGCTCAGCAGACACTTGGTCTGTGAAAAGTAGCAGTTACTGCAGGCAGCCTTTCATCATAGGCAGTCTTTTGTCATGATACACCAGGCTTTGCAGCCTGTCACCTGACTGCATTTTTTAGGTTTTTGTTACCAGCAACACCCCCCTTCAAGATACTCATTTCTGTATCTGTCGTGATTGGGTCAGGAAAACAGAAACTACTCTAGGTATTTCAAGCAGGAGAGGATTTAACATAGTGAATTAGAGGCTTATGAAACCATTATCTGTGCTGGGGGAGATGGTGGTGGTGGCGGCAAAGACAGGAAAAGCTGCTGTCAGCTTTCAGGTAATCCAGAAATGCAAGAACTGCAGGAAACTGCTGCAGGTCAGCTGGGCCTTCCATAGGACCACAGAGGGTGATTTTCAGGAGAATCTTCCGAGGCTGCTGGTGCAACATCACAGCTGCCGATGTGACCAAGGGCCAAAGCCCGTACTAGTGCTGCTCCTGCTGGAGCAGTCCCAGCTGGCCTCCATTGCTCTTCTGCTTCCCAAATCTTGTGGGGTAGCTGAGCCTCGCATCCCGGCCAAGATTCGGGTCATGTGGTTCCCTGCTATGTGAGGGTGAGCATAGCCTGGAAGGAAATGGTGCTTGTTGCCAACACACAACCCCACTTCTCTTAAAATGAGGGGAACACTGAGCCTTAGAAAAAAAGGAGAAACAATCCTTAATATATTCCTGTTGGATTGTTTTACAGATAAAAAAGTTTGCTGTCTGGAAGTGAGTACAAAATATATGTATTAAAAAAGTGAGTACAAAATATATTTATAAATAAAATTTTATTTTTATAATTGTTTTTATTTATAGACTATAAAGCAATTGGCAAAATAGGAGAGGGAACGTTTTCTGAAGTTATGAAGATGCAGAGCCTGAGAGATGGAAACTACTATGCGTGTAAACAAATGAAACAGCACTTTGAAAGGTAGGCAATCAGAGACATATTTAAGAGTAAATACAGTACAGGTTTAAATCAATAAGGGCAACTTAATATTAGTGGGAAAATTGTATTCATGTAATAATATGTAAGATGTTTGGGGGCAGTGAGGATTATGGGCTAATTTTATGTTTATCATACTGGTTTTTATTCATGTCCAAGTTTACTGTAATATCAATGATTAATGGTCACAAAAAAGTTAAATTGTGAAAGTATACCTCACTATTTAAACAGTCTGTATGTTCCTAAAAGTTGTGTGTATGTTGGACTTTTATAAATGAAACGTTAGTCTGAATATATTAAAGGTCTTTGTGATTTAATTAATTGTGAATCAATTAATGTATTGAAAAATAATTTCCAAATAGGGTTGGAGAAAGTTATTCCCTGGGAGTGATCAGTTGCCGTTTGTGGAGAGGGGAATTCTCTAGTTCTGGATTAGTTCCTTGGAGGACTGCTGTGGCTTTTTCTCTCAGAGCAGCCTCTTAAAGTCTTGGAGTTTGCAGCTTCTTAACATATATCACACTAAAGAGTCGAAAACCAACTGTGATTAGGAAACTCTATCAGAATAATGAAGTAAATGCTGGCTTTATTACGACTGTTAAACTTTTCAATAAAGAGCTTTGAAGCTTAGCTTTTTTTTTTTTTAATATCAAAGAATTGAAGTCTCTAAATATCTAAAGCAAATTTTTTAAAAATGAAATTCCCCTACACACACATTGATGCAGAGCCTTCTGAAGTGTTTTGGGATCCAAACCTTGATTTCAAACTCTTAGTGTGAAAAAATTGTTTCTCAGATCAGAAGGGAGTATACGACAGTTAATTGTGTCAAAGAGTATGGAGAACAGTAATTTCATCCTCATGACATCCCCACAGGATAACTGTAATCATTCCTCTTTTGCACATGAGGACAGGTGCTTAGAGATGTGAAATAACTTGACAGTTGCCACTCGAGGCCACTAGGTGGGCAGAGCAAGATTTGAATCCAGTTTTTCTTTTTTTTCCTCCCCGTGAGGAAGATTGGCCCTGAGCTAACATCTGTGCCCATCCTCTATTTTGTATGTGGGATGCTACCACAGCATGGCTTGATGAGTAGTGCACAGGTCTGTGCCCAGGATTCGAACCTGCGAATCCTGGGCTGCCAAAGCGGAGTGTGCTAATAACTTAACCACTACACCACCGGCCTGGCCCCTGAATCCAGATTTCACTGAACCAGAAGCCTTGTTCTTCATCACTGAAAGCATACGATCACTTACCTGCTGCTGCCAAGACTCTGAAGTTACTGGGTCTTCTGCTCTTCCTCTGTTCTGTCCCTTCTTCCTCTGTGTATTCTGTATTCTCTGTGTTTATCTTTTCCCCCCACTCCATCTTTACCTTTAAACTACTCAATGATAGAGAATTTGCTGCACAGTGTACTGATTATCCCATAGCTAAAGAGCAGACGTCCTTAACCAGCCACCTTTGAGAAATCCACCAGAAACCCAGAGTAGCTGAGAAAGGACTTTGAGCAGCAGGATGTGATGCATTTGCACCTTAGGAGAGGGCCAGAATCCCTTTCAGGTCCCACACTCAGGTTCAGGGGTAGATGTACTTATAGACACCAGGACTTGCCAGCTGTTGTTTTGGGGAAGAGCTGAACATAAAAAGTGGATTGGACAAATAGCCTTCAGACTTCAGGCACTTCCGCGATCGTTGCTGTGTGAGAATAATGCACAGGCACTGTCACTCTGATGAGCAGCCATCAAGGATAGATCACATTTGGTCACAGATGTGCCTTCAGGAAGGTAGAGATATCTGTAACACATTTTTAGAAACATTTCCATCAGAGAAGATTAGAATGCTTTAAAGGGCAATCCTTTGAGGGTCAAGGAACACTCACTTTATCTGGAGAAGTACCTTTGTGTAACCTCAGTCCCTCAGGAGAATGTAGCATTATCTAAGGGACGTGGTTTCCTAGTGGTGACATGCATCCGGAATCCACCATCTACCAGGTCCCCAGTACACTGAAAGTGCACACCTCATGCACCCGAACCTTGGCTTCTTTGTTGTGAGGTGCTTGAGGACTAAACGAGGGGATGAATAAAAAGTAGCTAGCAAGGAAGGGCGCATGGTAAATGTTCAATAGATGGTAGCCTTCATTACTGTATGTGTAATCATTTGTTGTATTTCAGAAACAATTCATGCTCTTTGCCTTAACTTTAAAAGTGGTTTGGGCCGGCCCCGTGGCTTAGTGGTTAAGTGCGCGCGCTCCGCTGCTGGCGGCCCATGTTCGGATCCCGGGCGCGCACCGATGCACCACTTCTCCGGCCATGCTGAGGCCGCGTCCCACATACAGCAACTAGAAGGATGTGCAACTATGACATACAACTATCTACTGGGGCCTTGGGGAAAAAAAAAAAGGAGGAGGATTGACAATAGATGTTAGTTCAGAGCCGGTGTTCCTCAACAAAAAGAGGAGAATTAGCATGGATGTTAGCTCAGGGCTGATCTTCCTCACAAAAAAATAAATAAAAAAAACAAAAGTGGTTAATTAGGGCCAGCCCTGGTGGTGTAGTGGTTAAGTTCGTCATGCCCTGCTTCGGCAGCCCCAGTTCGGTTCCCTGGGCGCAGACCTATACCACTCGTGGCTATGCTGTGGCAGCGACGCACATACAAAATAGAGGAAGATTGGCAACAGATGTTAGCTCAGGGCGAATCTTCTTCCACAAAAAAAAAAAAAAAGTGGTTAATTAGAACATATTTTTCTTTTCTTTTTTTTTTTAATAATTTTATTTATTTATTTTTCCTCCAAAGCCCCAGTAGATAGTTATATGTCATAGCTGCACATCCTTCTAGTTGCTGCATGTGGGATGCAGCCCCAGCATGTCCAGAGAAGCAGTGTGTTGGTGCTCGCCCAGGATCCGAACCCGGGCTGCCAGTAGCGGAGCGTGCGCACTTAACCGCCAAGCCACGGGGCTGGCCAGAACATATTTTTCTTTTAAAAATTCATAGTAAGCAAAATAAAATAAACCACTGGATCAGTATTGCTTTACCTTTTTTTTTTTTTAACATATATATATTTTTTTATTGTGAAATTTTTGTTGGACATTATTGTTTATCAGTCACCATATAAGTGCGTCCCTCCACCCCTTGTACCCACCCCCACCCCCCTAGCTCCTGGTAACCACCAAACAGTTCTATCTGTGTGTGTGTTGGTTTATCTTCCACGTATGAGTGAAATCATGCCCTGTTTGTCTTTCTCTTTCTGGCTTATTTCACTTAACATAATACCCTCCAGGTCC